GCGGAGACCCGGACACAGAGCTTCCATGTTTCACAACCTGACACCTATCAGTCAAATAAGAGGAAAACATTTGTAATGCAGATGATGAAAGTTGAAAAGAAATCYACTTTTGTAAGAGAGTATAATGATCAACTGTGTCAAACGCTTTACGAAAATCAACATATGCAGCACCAGTTACTTGACCTTTGTTCAAAGCAGCACGTATTTGTTCAGTGAATAAAATTACTGCAGACATGGTTGACCTTGACGTGCGGAAACCATGTTGGCTATTGCTTAGCATATTATTAGCTTCTAGATGCTGAAGTAGTTGATTAAATATTTTTTTCAAGTAACAGAAAAATAGAAAGAACAGAAATTGGCCGATAGTTTGAAACTTCTATTGGATCACCAGATTTAAAAATGGGAGTAATCTGCTATGTTTTCAAAGGAGAACTGTCTCTGACAGCCATATTGAAATGCCAACTGACTCAAAATATTTTAAATTAATTTATATTGTAAGTAAGTAAAATTTTATTTATATAGCGCCTTTCACAGAAATAAATTCACAAGGTGCTGTACAAACAAGAACACCCAATCAAGAAGACACACATGACAAACATTGGGGGACAGGTGTACAGGTCATGCAGCAGCAGAGACAGAGACAGTTGCACTACCTTTAACAGCTTGCTAGAAATACACAAGAAATACACAATTCTACACCATTGCTTAAAGTACAGAATATGTATTGGAGATCATTTGCAGTTACAACTACACTACGGTAAGGAATCACTCGGTTATGAGGATTCAACTACACTCTAAGAACTTAAAAGTTCTGTGGAGATTATTTATCACAGGATCTTCTATGTTTGGAACAAATATCTTCTTTTGCAATTGAATGACACAACACAATAAAATGAGCGTACTCAGTGACTTTAGTCTGATCTAATAATAAATTAGATCATTTATTTACAGAATCAAAACAAATCACATATACAGCTTATTGTGGGAAATTAAATTTCCTATAAAGAGAGAAACAACAAATTTTTAGGCTTAGATAAACTATTTGTTTGTCTTCTTCTTAAGTTTCGGCAGGGCAGATAGTTTAAGGAGTAAAATAAGGTATTAGCTTCTACTTTTAATCTTATCTTTAAAGAATGTGGATTTTGACCAGGGAGGGCAGCCGTCTCTCAATGAATTCAGCCAGACATCAGGTACACTCATTAACGAGCAGCCATTACCCTGGACCGAAGACAGAGGAGTCACCCACAGTTCAAGTCGAAGGAAAGATCGTCCAGTTGGTGAAGAACTTCTCGGAACCTCATCCAGTTGGACCTTCCAGGCTCGTTAACTTTTCCAGCGTCTCCTGGGCTGCTTTCAATCAAAGACCAGAGATGAGGATCTTCTCTGTATCCGTCTCAAAAATAGAATACTTCAAAACAAAAGTTGCTCTGTGTGGCTTTGCTAAGCTCAGGTAATGGACGTGACCAGATGGGTCCACTTCAAGGCTGTGAGGTTTCCCTTTGACCCAAATGGGCAAAAACACACAGTCCAGCACTGGCTCTCTGCAAAGAGAAGACAGCCGCTTCCTCGTCAAAGCACAAGAACTGTTAGTCTTAGACCAAAGATGTTAGTTAAAAGATAGGAAGTGTTATTGAGGACTCTGTGTTATTTTGTCTTAACAAAATTGTTGACGTCTGTACAGTCTGTACTGCTGTTCTGACCTGCTCTCTGGATGATTTACTGAAACTTAAAAATGAATTATTTCATTTAATAACACTCATTATGATGATTCAGACAAAAATTTAAATAAAATGTTTCATAATAAAGCTTAACCATAATGCTGAGTTTAGTCAAGTAAAAAAATTTTAACAGAAAAATCTATAATCAATCACTGTGGTTTCACGATTACTGTAAATTTCAAGCAATGATTTGCATTAAAACAAACATTTTCTGTGGTTTTCTTTTTTGTACATTCATAAAATTATGAATAAAAAGATTATTCTGTTTATTATCTGATTAAGAAGAATATGTCTTTTATAGCTGTAATAAAATATGTCATACAGACAAGCATGCATGTAAATAAATCATAAACTGGCTTCCACAGCACAGATTATGGATTTAAACATAGCTTTCAGCTATAAGTGAGAGAAAAAAGCGACTTGAACTAGGTCTGACGTCATTACCTTGAACAGCCGTAAAGTAGCTTATTATCAGCAAATAATTAATGTTATTGACGTATTTACAACTTCAAAATGACAGAAAACAACTAAATCTGCAGCTTCTTGTTATTCTCTGAGCACCAATCAGCCATAAACAGTCTTATAAATCTTATAATAACACTTTGACTATTGCCAACATGAAGAAAACAGTGTTTTTCCACAGTGCACAGAAGATAATATTTTAATGAGAAATATACTACGAGTTACCATTAAAAATGGAACCGTTCGGACCACCAATATGTAGGGGGTGAGCTTAAGGTGAATTAAGCTTCTCCCACATCTCTCATACTCAAGGTTACGAGGAAAATTCTTACCAAGGTTTTCTCATTATTTGTTAATATCTTGACTGTGCGAAACGAAAAATGACACAAGGGGAACGCTCAGATGAGTTCAATTTGTTAATAATGACTATGCAATCATTTATTTACACAAATTAAACAAATCAGCAGTTACACCTGATTGTGGGTATTTAATTTCCTATAACAAGCGTCAGAATTAATGAGATAAAACCCGCATCCGAATTTCAATTCACATCAACTCATATTACTTATAATAAGACAGTAAAACGTTAGTTCTGCTGTTAAACAACCAAATAATTTTACTGGCACTTTTAGCTTAAGTTTTGGCAAATCAAAGAAATAAGAAAGAGGAGAAAAGTAATGTTTGTGTTTCTACTACTTTAATTTTACCAAAGTGTGAGACAACCGGAACTGCACGTCTTTTCTTGACTCAGGTCCACAATACACATCACTCCAAACACGTCAGCTTTTACCTGATGATGGCTTCTTAAGACACCCTCGAAGTAGAAAAACTGGCTCGCCTCCGATCAGTCAGAGAACTGTTGTCGGCTCGCTTACCAGTCATTGGCGAACAGCTGTTATTTTCAGGTAACTTTGTGTCTGCTTCAGTCCAAGCCAGAAAAATTCAAGCCATATCTGGTTTCTCCTTCAAAATAAAACATCTCCCCATCGGGAGGTACAAAACACACTTGGAGGTTTAAAGCCTCGGGTTGGAACACCGACAGGCGTGTCGGGTCCCTGGCTGTAAAATCCCCCCTAATTGGCTCGTGGGATGAGATCTTACAGCCCCAGGGCTGAGGTTTCTCCAGAGAGAATCACAGCCGGCTTCCTTGTTTTGAGTTAGGAAGTCAGAGTGTGCTCAAAGCCGTCCCGGTTAGTAATAAGAACGGACAAACTTTGGTTCCGCCCTCAGGCTTAGAGATGAGTCAGAGAAGAAAGATACAGACTTGCCAGCCAGGCGCCAGTCAAGGTTAAATTCTGTGGTTGTTCAACAACATCATGATAACTTCTTTAGCTTTCTTCTGATAGACTCTAAGAGAAATCACTGCAAAACATTTATGGTGATTAACTACAAAATTTCTGTTTTATAATCAGCTCTGAACCTTCTGTTAGTCCAAATAAATGAAAGATTTTCTCAAGAAAAAATCCACTATTATATTACTGTGTTCACAGTAAAATAAAAACAGTGATTTACATAAAACACAATGAAAACATTGTAATCAGATTCTCTGTGATTTTTTATACCATTATAAATCTTTAAGGCATGATAAAAGAAAAGAAGTAGTTCCACTTTTCCTGTGACAGTCATTATCATAATTTAACAAATGCATAAACATTCTTAGTTAAATGACAAGTGAATCACGAACAGAAGAGATTGTTCTGTCCATTATCTGATTAAGAGAACTGYGGGGTTCTCTTCCACGGTTAGAATGACCTGTCATGGCCTAAATAGAGTTCAGTTTGTGACAGAGTTCCTGTCCTCTCATCAGGCCTGTCCGAGGCCCGCTTAGAGGCAGAAAATCTTGTTTCTTCACTCGAGGTGACCCCTACATAGCTTTAACAGGAACCAAGTTCTGTCTCTTTAAAAGAGCCTTAGGTCAAGGACAGTTTTGCATGTTTATTTCACCCAGAGTGACCACTACACTATCTAAGCTCAGTATGTGTTGAATGGGCGGATTTATAGATATCTGTATATTTTTGAAGTTTTTCTGTCTGTGACGATCATCTTGAATCATGTTCACGCCAAAACCTAATCGTACATTTAGTTGATACATTCTGCAAGTTTCATTAAAAAGTGTCTGGTTGTTCGTGAGATGATTTGATAGCAAACACATTAACACACAAGCAAAAACATCTGCCTTTGAGGCAGGTGCTAAAAACATTAAAAGAAACAAAGACAGAACTTGGAGAACAAGACCGAGTCAGAAAACTAAAAACCAATATCAAACCCTATATAAAACTACCCTCACAGACTGTAACATTTCTGACAACAGTTCCTTATTTTAAGTTTATTTACGATGTTTGTTAACTTGTCTCTGTTTCGCAGAACCAGTAACTGGAGCAACGATTGTCCACTCTGGTCCAAAGGAGTTCTTTGAGGGAAAAGACCTGGAGATGCAATGCAACGTTACAGTTGGAAATCATGTGTCCTACAAGTGGCTGCTCAATGGACGGGTCATCTCACCATCTCCTTTCTACCAGATTTCAGAAAACAATCTAATGATCTACAGGTCAGTGCAAAACCTACACAATGTCAAGAATTACCACATCACACTGTGGTATTGGGCATATATACGTAATTAAGGTTGGTTGTGAAGATAATTGTGTACTGTTACCGGTTAGTTTATGTTTCAAACGAATTTTGTGTTTTGGTAAATTAAACATTGTTATGTACATGTTGCCTCTGACTGGGACTTTACTGCTAATATTGCACATGAACTAAAGTCACAGATATATGTGCACAAAAGTGCAATGATGTAAAAAAAAAACCGACATGAATCTAAGTCAATTACATTCATCCATCCTCAGCCACTGGACAGCTGACAATGAACTTTCAAAAATGGTTAAAATGAGGGATCAGGGTAATGGTTAATTTTAGGTACTGAGGTCAGGGATAGGCTCTATAGGGCTAAAAAAAGTTAAATTTAGGGACTGGGATAGTTAGTTGTTGCGCATTTCCTACTCTTTTAAAAAATATGACAACATGCTCCTTCTTCTCCGCCTCATCTTGTTAAGAACGGATGCGAGGCGGGTACCCGACACGTCCGAAGCTGGACACAGACGTCTACCTGACCAAGCGTCAATATGTTGACAAGTCGGGAGTGAGAATGGGTTGGACAATGAATGGATGGAAGAAGAGAAGCCCAGAGATCTATCAGTCCAGCTCATTCTGGGAGATTCAAAGGCGTTAGACCAAAGCCTCAAACCCTCCAGGAGACAGGGATATACCTCCCACAGCTTTTTGTCTTCCATGGTCTAGACATCCAGGAGAGTCAAGTGCCCTGTTAGGAAAATATGGGACAATAGGATCTTTAATATAAGCTTGAGCTCGGTTGTTGAGAGCTTTGTACTGATCAGATACATGGCCCACCTCAGTTGATTCCTGATGCTGACGAGCAGCTGCTCTACACCGAGCTCCACCTGAATGACAGAACTCCTCTCTTTATCTCTAAGGCTGAGTCCAACCACACCACACAGGAAGCTCGTTCCTGCTGCTTACATCCTAGGATCTTGTTCACTTGTGATCCATACCTCATGACCATAGATGGTTTGACTGTAGATGGATCAGGAAATCAGGAGCTTTGTCTTTAGAATCCCTCTTTCCCATAACAAACCAGAGCAACATCCCGATTACCATAGACAAAAAAAACAATCTATCTCTTGTTCCATCCTGCTGCCATCACAAGATAGAACAAGATATCTAAAGATAGCAGCTCATTCCTAACCCAGTTAAGAACCATGACTTCAAATTTCAAAGAGCTGCTTCACAGTCAGCTGCCAGGTGTGCATGCTAAAGCTCATGACCTGAAGAAACCAACAGAACCACATCTTCTGCAAAAGGCAGAGGCTGAAGTTTCCAAAATGTGGTTTCAAAGTCTTTGTTTTTGGGGTCAAGATCTTTTGACATTTAAAGTAACAGTGAGCTGATGAGTATTTATTGTCATGTCATCATTTAAAAAGGAAAATTGCTCCAGCAAAAGACAAGTCCCTGTCACAAAAATGCTGGCTTGTTACTGAGTTGTTTTTCACAACTCTTCCAACATTTGTCTGAAATAGAAGTCAGCCATTATGAGTACGTTACCAGAATAACAACATGTGTGTCTCTCAGAGCCACATCTGAAGCCAGCGGCTCCTATGTGTGTGTGGCTACAAACATCTTCAATGAAACAAAGGTCTTCATCTCCAACAGCTCTGATGTTTTGATCACAGTGAAAGGTCAGTACCGAGTGTAGAAACATTTACAGAAATGTTTCCTTTTCAAAATCAGCTCAGCAGAGTGACGTCCTCCACCTTTCTCTTCTCTCAGCCTTGGTGTCAAAGCCCGACATCTCGTTCGCTGTGTTGAAGGAGGATTACCAAAATTACTCTGCTATTATCACCTGTCAGTCAGAAAGAGGAGCTCTGCCTATAACCTTTTCACTCTACAACGGCACAGAACTGCTCAGCAATGTGACAGCTAAAGAGAAACATGCAACTTTTAAGGTTCCAATCATCCTGGACCAGGACCTGGGGTTGCTCCAGTGCCATGCAAACAATGGGGACAGAACTACATACAGTCACTCGTTGCCCTTAAAAGTTGGTATGTAAACTATTAACTCTGTTTTGACTTTTTTCTAACACCAGTGCACATTGGGATTGCAGAATTTTGGAACTACATACTTCTGTTTTGATGCAAAAGAACCAGGATTGTACTGTAATGCTGTTGGCTTTGTCACTCGCTAAACAAAGAGTTGTCAAAACGTTAAACATCGTACATTTTGATCAGGACAAGGTCAGTGTTGGTTAGCTTTTGACTGCCTAACTGAATCTAATCTGTGTCCTGCAGTCCAGGTTGGTGGGCCTGTGACGATTGATTCCAAGTACGACATGGCAGAAAACTATGCTGTCATTGGACTCAAGTTTTACTGTAAGGCAGCGAAAGGATCTCATCCCCGTTTCCAGTGGTTTCTCAACGAAACGCTTCTAAAGGACAGAGGAAGCTTTTATTATGTGTTCGACCGGCTGCCGACCGAATCCATCCTCCTGCTGTCTGTGGGAAGGAGCAGCACGGGAATGTACCGTTGTGAAGTGTCAGACAGCTTCGACAACACCACTGCCATAAGCAGTAGGACGCACTATTTGAATAAAAACGGTACGGTTGGTTTGCAGCTGCTTTGATCAGAGCATCTTTACCGTATGACATAAATGCTATTTTATTCACTTGCAGTCAAAACACAAAGGCAGATAGAAAATAATCGATGGATATCAATAAAACATGAACTTTTTCAATCCATTTCAGCATATCCACCACATCTAACTGATATTAGCTAACACAAAGCTGGCTATAACTCACACAATTTTACACATAATAAACTAGCATTTGCTGTGGTAGTAGCTGAGAGTCATCAACAACACATAGTTTGAGCGTGACATGTTGGGGTTGTGCATAATGGTATTTTTAAGGTTTTACTAAGAGTTACTCAGTTAATTCTCAGTGTAAAATGATCGTTTTAAAACTCTGATATGAAATGTGGGGATGAATATGCATTGAATGCTAGTCCTTCAATTTTTCTTCTTCTTCTTCTTTATTATTATTATTATTATTATTATTATTATTATTATTTTCTGTTTTTACCTTTCAGTGCTGAACCGCCTGCCTGTCTTTGTGGTGGCAGTTGTCTTTGGATGTTTTACATTCCTGATTCTCTTGGTGTCGTCTTGTTGCTTGTTTGGGCTGATTTTCAGTGAGTTTGCAAAGATTTGATCTTATATTGCTTTTTCTTGGATACTTCTGAAAAATGAATTTGTTTGCTCTTTTTCGTTTAGGACCAAAACAATTTGAAGAGAAGCCTTTGTAAGTTACTATCAGAGTTTCTCAGTTGTACCTGAATCTTGTACAATGGTGCAAACACAAAATGGTTGTAACTCACTCTTGTTTGACAAAAATGGAGCTATCTTTGTTTAAAATGTTGACGTGCAAGACAATGAATGATATGCATTCTTTTAAGGAATAGTTTCATCAATTTTTTTAAATCAGCGCAGATGATTTTATGTAAATTTCATAAAAGTAAGATTTGAATTGTTTGAGTTCACACACAGATTACCTACAATTTTACACAAAGTTAATTTTAATCCCAATCAGGGCATTTGGCAAAACATTGATTAAAGGGCCAATATTATGTGTTTCTCAGGCATACATTTAAATACTATACCATAATAAAGTATCTATGTCACCTTTAGCT